TTTTATAGCCCAAAATGGGATAAACCCGTTGCTAGAATTTCCAACAGGATGAAGACAAATTTTTCAGGGACACAGGCTGATAGTCGATTGTCAAACCATGATAATCGATTATCCAAAGATTCCCTGTCCAAAAATTTAAAATTCTATCCGTTGGAGGACAACGGTAACCCAGATAATCGATTGTCAACAAGTGATAATCGATTATTGGTCCTCTCTGAAGATTCTGGGTTTTGGCTGCAAGGCTGATAATCGATTATTGCAAATCCGATAATCGATTATTTCGTGCTTCAGAACTTGGAAGTTCAAAGCTGCAGTGGCTGATAGTCGATTGTCACTAAGGTGATAATCGATTATCACCCAGCTAAAGTCTAGCCAGCTGAAACCCGTTTTGAAAAACCGAGGTCCAAAAACGAAGCGTTCCCAAGAGTAAAAACCAAGTTTGAAAAACATTGTATATGGTATAAAATAGTGAAAACAAGACTTGTTTGGTAAAAACCAAGTCCTCAAGGTCGTAAATCACGTGCGTACGGTTTTGACCGTTTTTCACGTGTTAGACCGATTGACCAAGATACAAGAGTGGTTTTTACAAAATAATTATTCGGGAACCTTTAAAATATGCTCAGAGATAAAAACAGGGTTTAAAATATTGAAAACCACGGAGTTGGTTCGGGCGCCAAAAAACCGAACGCCGAAAACCGAACGACGAAAGCCGAACGCCGACTTAGGTGGTTTTGGTTCTGAGCGAGGACCAGGGATTTTTAATAATAAAAGAAGTCATCAAAAAATGTTTGTTTTGATGCACAAAAAATGTTTTATGGTTTGTAAAAATTGTTTTGACTTTTTGAGAACCGAGACTTGAATAAATTGTCGGTTTTGATCACAAAAGACCGACTCGACTAAGTCTTCAATTCTTGATCTTGTCCTTGAGTCTTTTAGGCCTTGTTCCAAGCCATTCTTCACGCCTTGAGTTATTCAAAGAAACTCTTCATATCCACGACGGTTTGGCAATTATCAAAACCTGTCAGAAATGAACACGACTTTAGTTTAACGTGCAAAGTGTGTTCCAACAATGTGATGTCAGGACGAGTGAATGTAAGATACTGCAGCGCGCCAACGATAGACCTGTAAAAGGAGGGGTCGGAGAGAGCCGAGCCAGCCGTGGTAGATAGTTTTGCCTTCGTGTCCACTGGAGTAGAGATGGGGCGGCAGGAGACCATCCCTGCCCGCTCAAGAATGTCGTGGGCAAATTGAGTCTGGTGGAGGAAGAGGCCAGTGGCAGTACGATGCACATTGATCCCGAGGAAAAAATGCAAGTCGCCCATGTCTGTCATGGAGAATTCAGCCTTAAGCTGCTGAATGAGACTCTGGAGAAGTGTAGCGGAGGATGCCGTCAGTACAATGTCATCAACATATAGGAGCAGGTAGGCCATGCCCATGGGCTGAGAGAAGATGAAGAGGGAAGTGTCGGCCTTACATCCTCGAAAGCCAATAGTCTGTATGAAACCTGCAAACCTGTGAAACCAAGAGCGGGGGGCTTGCTTAAGACCATAGAGAGCCTTCTTGAGTTTGCAAACATAGTGAGGGCGAGTGGGATCCTGAAACCCGGAAGGCTGGCAGGCATAAACGGTCTCCTGTAGCTGACCATGAAGGAACGCATTTTTGACATAAAGTTGATGAATGGGCCATCCGCGAGACAGAGCAAGGCTGAGGACAATACGAACAGTGGCAGGCTTGACAACGGGGCTGAAGGTCTCGTCATAGTCAACGCCAAAACGTTGATTGAAGCCGCGAACCACCCAACGGGCCTTGTACCTGGATAACTCACCTGAGGGGCCAAATTTGTGGCGAAAAAGCCATTTACCGGTGATAAGGTTTTGGGAGGGGGAGGGGGGTACTAATTCCCTTGTTTCGTTCTTTATCAAAGCATTATACTCATCTATAACCACGTTGGTTTGAGGGATATCCAAGAAAGATGCAGCGGGCAGAGCGTGGTGCAAGTTTGTGTAGAGCGGTGGCGGAGACATTGGGGTAGCAGAGACAGCCAAAGACGCGAAGGTGGGAGTAATGAGGAGGTGAGTTGTAGAGAACGGAGTGAGGAGTTTGATTTTTTAATGTGGTGGTGGGGAGTATGTTGAAGAGATGGGCCGCCATGTAGAGGGCTTCGACCCAAAATTCAGGTGGGAGTTGGGCTTGGAAAAGGAGGGTGCGAACTGTGTTATTGATGGTACGAATGGTGCGTTCGGCACGTCCGTTTTGTTGACTGGTGTGAGGGCAGGAGAAACGGAAAAGAATTCCTAAAGAGTTAAAAATATTTTTAAGAGGTGAGTTTCTGTATTCAGTTCCGTTGTCACATTGAACAGCTTTAATTGTTGTGTTAAAATGATTTTTCACATATGCCACAAAAGAATTTACGTGAGTAAAAGCATCACTTTTATGTCTTAAAGGAAACACCCACAAGTAATGAGAAAAATCATCCAACAACAACATATAGAATTTAAAACCAGTAATACTTGGCACAGGGGATTGCCATAAGTCTGTATTCAAAATTTGAAACGGAAAATAAGAAACACGACTAGAAGAGTAAAATGGGAGGCGCACATGCTTTCCCAACTGACACGCATGACAAAGAGTTTGTTGACAATTTGTAAATAAAGGAAAATTGTGAGGGACTCCACGAAGAACTGCAGGACTTGGGTGGCCAAGACGACGATGCCAGGTTTGATGATCTACGGACGAAACATGAGCTTGGGCAGGTGCTGGTTCGCTGACGGGGTAGAGGGGACCCACATTATTGGACCGATGCATCACGGTCCCCGTCTGACGATCCTTCACAGAAAAACCATGAGCATCAAATTCAACAGTGCAGTTGTTATCACGAGTGAGTTGGCGGACAGAGATAAGATTATGTGTGATATGAGGGGAAATGAGGACATTGTGTAAGGAAAGGGGAGGGGTGGTGGGGAGGGTGTGGTTACCAACCGCCGTAGTGCGAACTTTAGATCCATTACCAACAGTGATATAGTGAGGTGAATATAAAACTTGAGAAGAGACATGAGAAAGAGTACCTGGATTGGAGGCAATATGGTGTGTAGCACCGGTAGGAGGCAATTGGTATAGAATTAAAAAATAAAAATTACATATTAAAATACTACATCAAAAGATCTACAAAACTAGTAGTGACAATAGTACTTTATTTTATCAAATTACTAACGAAAATAGATGAAGAAAGTGAGTAAAATTTAATTCTATGAATAGTGAACAGACATTATAATTTGGGACGAAAGGTGTACTATTATTTGGTGTTGTCTTTTTGTAATTTAGACAACTATTTTTTTTGCATTGTCCAATTATGATTCAAACTACTCTTTTTCAATTAGTAACTATTTTTAATAATTGAAAAATATAAATCACAAAACACATAAAATTCTAAAAAACACAATATATTGAATAATATCTAAATTAATACATTCAAACTATTACTAACATCTACTAATAATTTAATATATGCATACTTAAAAGCACATTGTAATTATCAATTGAGCATGCTTAAATTAGTCATTTGTTCCCTATCATACTTGAACTGTTCAAGTTGCATGATACTTCATAAAATGCCTTACAGATTCAACCTTTATCTCATAAATGTCATCTTCAATGTATTCGAGACTCCCTCTACTCGCCCACTTAAAAATACAAGATAAAGAACAAATAAATGAGCAAGCAAGTTTTGGAATTAAACAAAAAAATGAGCAAGATAAAGAACGAATTGATGTCTATGACAAAAAAAAATGGAAAAAAAAGACATGAGATTTATGGTGTTTGGTTCCAATACCTATTAGTCAAACTCCGGACCATTGGTTCAATCTTTGTAAATGTACTAAATGATGACAATGACCTCGTACACTGTAACATACTAATAGAAATATCCATGGACTCGAAAAATTTAGCCAACATCTCATACCTGGAACACATTCAAGAAAGTCATCAAAATATAGAACCAGAAAATAGTTCAAACCACAACAAATCTAGTTTAATGAGACAGACTTTGCTGATGTATAAAAGAGAGAATACACATGTATGATGTGTAACGTCGAAAACCTCAAATACGCCGAACAATCTGGGCTAGGAACCACCTCAGTAGCAATGCAAATTTGCTTCCATGTAGCAAGTGCAAACAGAATCTGCAGCAAAACTTTTATAGCCTATTGGGGAATTGAAGCATCTGCATGGCAGTCTCCTTAAAGCATCTCCAACCTGTGCTGCCGATTAATGTACATGACCTTACTCAAATAGTATGCTAAAACCATCAAAAAATAACCATAGAATTCAAGGAACAATCAGGATCATAGTTTCACACAAGTTCATATTGGAATCCGATTAGTCATTTAGACAGATACTAGGGAACAATCAGGACTTGGTGAATTGGGATACGGTGAGTCATTTAAACAAATACAGGTGACCAATCATGTGTGTGTGTGTGTGTGTCTAAGCGCAAAAAATTCAACCCTATTGTTTTTCTCCAACACAAGAAACCAACCAAGGGGGTTCTCTGAGCAAAGTTGCCTCGGAGTCCTCTCATGATGAACCTTCTACCTCTCCGGCGGAGATTACTCCAGACCCTTCTTCGAAGTCTCTAACAGAACTGGGCTTCTATTCGGGAAAGTCTCTAGTCTGCGAAGGAAGCTCATGCACAGGGGAGGAAGATGTCTGAACGGGCCCGAGAGCTAGCTAAAGGACCGGCCCCCAGCGACATCAACCATCACCCAGACGTGGCAACCTTCGCCATTCTTGGCTTCATGGAGCAGGTACTTCTCCATCCCCTTCTAGCACTTCCATCTTCATGTTAATTCCATTTATCTAAATTCTTCGTTTTCCCAGGCTCATGCCACTGTCTTGAAGCTGTCTGAGGAATATCTTGGAGCCTGCTTTTGGAACTCTCTAGCTTACTCTTTCCTGTGCGAGAAGGAATGAGCGATTCGAGAGCTAAAAGGAGCAACTCAGGGATGCCCAATAAGAAAATGCCCATATCCGCAAGCTAAGTGGCAAGTTGAATGACGATCGGGAACTCTGGAAGATCAAGTGTGTAGAGCTCAAGAGAAAATTTGACCTGTCGCGGGGTTCTGCCGAGTCCTCCCAGACCCAAGAGTTAGAACTGGAGCTGAAGTCCAAGGAAGCCCAGGCGGAGTCCTTAAGGACGCAAATCACCGGTGTCGCGGATCAAACAGAAGTCTTGGAACTTGAGTTCCAAAAGCTCAACTCCAAGATTATTGGGATGGAATCGGGAAAAGCTGCCCTTCACCCGGCCCTGGAAGAGAAAGAATCCCAACTCTTGACGTCCTCCCAACTGATTGAAAAGCACGCAGCCATAGTTCAGGACAAGGATACAGAGATTGCCAAGCTAGGAGTTGATCTAAAAGAAGCCCGCCGGGGAGAGTGCCACAGAGTTGGAAGCCAAGCTTCGCCATATTGAACACAAACAAGTCCTCCGCGGGAAAATAACTTCACTCAAGGAGAAGATTGGAAAACTAGAGAAGGAATCAACCGACCAATGGACCCAGATCGAGAGACTGGAGAAAGAATCAGCAGAGCATCAAGCCCAGATTGCCAGGTTGATTGCCCGGGCTAATTCCTGCTACGCCAAAGGCCAGTATGATATGAAAACCTATATTTATGGGAAGATTGAAGAAGATCTACCTCTTAAGACCACCATGGAAGCCTTCATTGAGCACCATGGAACCGCTCGATCCCGGTTTAGACGTTGGCGTCGGGTCCGTCGTCGGGAGGATTCGGCTTCTTTTTGGCCATCTTCCCACCATTGAATACAATTCGTCCCGAAACAACGAAAAAAGAAAGCTCTTCTTTCATCGTCGGAAGGTGAACCCATTTTAAAAATATATTTTATAAATATTTATAATAAATAATAAATATTTTAGAGAGAATATAAAGAGAGATGTATGAGAAAGGAGATTTTATAAGTTTTTTTTAAATTTAGAATTTGTTTTAATTGGGGGGGGGGGTAACGGCTATATAGCCGTTGGAAAAGGAGGGGGAGCGGCTGAAAAAATGAAGCAACGCCGCGTCAAACGAATGACGCAGGTATACTCACGCCCCGTTAACGCCGGAGGGGGCGGTGTTTCACGCCCTCGGGGCGTTAAACGCCCCTTAACACCGGCGGGCGTGAAGAGTATACCCAGTGGCCTTAGAAATGTGTTCCCATCACTCATTGAATTGGTATGGAGAGCAAGCCATAATTAATGTTTGCAAGAATTTCCAATGGTTGGGAGTCTTCACTCCCGAACCTCTTGAATTTAATGCTGATACTCTAAGCCTTAATTAGGCCTTCACACTTCATACCGTCTCTTTATAAATGTTCCCACAGTACTCGGTGTCTAATATGAGGCTCTGAGCAATGCTATGTTTTCAAATAAAATGCTCACAAAGTTATTATATATAGATTAAATTTTTATTTTAAAATTATTTTAAACTATTTAATTTTTTTATTGAAGTTCACAAATAATAAATTTGTTAGAACGTTTCACATCATGCGTTCATACCATGACACATGAGCATATTAAACTTTATATTAACAAACAATTTTTTTATTTAATTTTCTTGAACTTTTCACTTTTTTAACACTAAATTATTATCGTAGTATTATTTTTATTTAATTTACATAAAACCATTCTCTCTCTAATATAACATCAAATATCCATTTTTTTATTTAATTTTTTATAAACCCTTCACTTTCTAACTACTTTAAAAATATTTATTTCATTAGATATTTTTAAAATATTTGTAAGTATGTATTATTTTAGGAATTAATTTTAAAATTATTGTATACAATTTTTAAAATTGTTCACCATTTTTTTACTTCTCAAATAACTATTTTATAAATTTTATCACATATTCAATTTTATGAACTGTATAATTTATTTCAATAATTTTTATTGTATTACATTATTTGTTTTATTTTATATATATATATATATATATATATATATATATAGACACACACACACACACATAAATACATATATACATTTATATATTAAAAATCATAATATACGGAGTATTTCTTTCAATGACCATATATATTATAAGGTGTATTGTGCATTCCACTGTCTTTCAAATGTATAAACATCGAGACTCCAAAGTGCTTATTTGGTCCATCTTGGGTGCATATCATTTTATTGGACATTCTCAAATAAAAAAAATATTTTTTATTTGTTTTTGTTAAAATAATAAATGCTTATTTCCTTCAAAAAATAAATGCTTATTTAGTATTAAAAAATGCTTATTTTGCTTATATGTAGGTTCATTGTAGACCTTAGGTCCACCATAGATTTTGTCAAACATCCATATTTAGTTACATTTTAAAAAAGATTTTATAACGTTATTAATGTTTTTAAAAAGAAAGATTTATACGAGGTAAGAATTTTTAAAAACTATTACCATTTTTCCTTTTACTTCTTTTAAAAACAAAGATTTGAAGAAATGTTAATAGATTGACATCAATATTAAAACTAAAATTTTAACTTTGAAAAAGATATATTTTATAGTTAAAAAATATTTATATACTCCCTTTGTCCCTCTAGGGTTTTCATGTTTCAGATTACGATATTTGACAAAAGTTATTTTTAATTCAATTTTTATAAATATTGGTGTAAAAATGAAAACAAAAATTAACATATTTTAAAACTACTTCAAAAGATCTACAAAACAAATAGCCCAGAAATGACAAGACTATTTAATTTTCTCAAATGATCAATTAAAATAAGTAAAGAAAATAAATAAAATTTGAACTTATAAATAATACGGAGTAAATTGGAAGAACCTAGAGGAAGGGATGTATATCCATAAAAGATTGTCACAGTTTGACTTTTTTGGTCAAACAATGACACTTTTTGATCACGAATTAAATATGATTTGAATAACTAAATATTATAAAAATTTGATATTTCAAAACTATATTTTAATGTAAACCGAATTTTACTAAATTAAATTATTAACTAAATATACTTTTACCGTAATTTACGGTCAAAGAGTGCCACAATTTGACCAAAAAGTTAAATTACGGCAATCTTTTAAGGACGGAAGGAGTATATCATTACTTGTACACCCCCTTCTTTTGACACCAAAATATAATGTCATAATATCACAACTCAAATTGGAATACTTACGGTGCTCCGATTGTTAAAAAATTGATGGTTCTCATTCCCCCTAACCCCCCTAGTTAAAGAGAAAAAACTAAAATATGAGTAAAGCGTTGAAAATATACCAAAATAGGAAATCCATGTTTTCATTCACGAAATAGGAATTAAAATATAATTACATTACCAATCATGACCATGTACGTTACCAAAAAGTACGTATAATGAAATGTCAATGTACAGTTTCATATTACTACACTGTAAACTTCTACTTAGAGAAAAGCACATGAAATTCCTTTTTTGGTATTTTATTTATACTTTACTCCTATTTAGGATGATTTCTTCTAGTAAACCCACGTCTTCGGCGTGCTCCGAATCCACCCCAATCCCTTCAATTTTATTTCCTAAATGTATTTTATTTTTAGATCAAATAATTAGGGTTTAGGGACATTTTAGGGCACTGGTAATACTCCTAACGCCTACCGACGTGATGGAGCTTTTCACGCCCCGGCGGCGTTACCCAGGCGTGATGGAGCCTGCGTCAAAGAAATGACACTGGTGGTTCCCCTCCCCCTCCTCCCCCTAACAGCTATTAGAGCCGTTGAAAACAAAAAAAGAAAAATTAATTTTTTTTATATAAATTTCAAACTCCCTCCTCTCATTCTCACACCTCCAAACTTCTTCAATCTTCTTCACAGTCTTCAATTCTCCAATTCTCCAACTCTCTTTTGAACATGAATCCTTCCGGCTCTGACTTCTTCCCCGATGATCTCGAGCACACGATGTGGTATTTCCAGCAATACGGGAATCATCCGCCGATGTTCGAGACGTAACAATCGGGGTACGTCGAGCGAGATTTCGTTCTGGAGAATCAGACGGGACCATCCGGCTCCGAAAAAAATACACGCTGGAAAAGCCACAAAGCAAAAGGCACGATGACCGAGGCGGCACGGTCAATCCAAAAGTGGACGCCGGAGGAAGAATGCTTATTGGCGTCAGCTTGGGTTGACGTCTTCGCGCATCCTATCGTTGGTAAAAATTATATGTTTTCTAATATATTTATGTTTCTATTTATTTAAAATTATATTTAATCGTGTCATAAAAAAATTTTTCGTGTTATACTTTTTTAAAGGTTCGGAGCAAACGAAGGATGCGATGTGGGATCGTATCGAGGAGAAGTTCTTCACGGCGATGAACAAGGACGGCTCCTACCGTACCCGGGACCAACTCACTTCCAAATGGAGCCACATCAACCGTAAAGTTCGAAAGTTTATCGGAGTTTACGAGGAATGCGCCCGGTTCCGGAGGAGCAAGACGAACGATGCTGATGTTCTCCGGCTTGCCACGACCCGGTATCAAGATGACGGGCACCAAGGCAAGGTGCCCATCGATCTTTGAAGGATTTTGAGCCGTTCCCCGAAGTGGCAACAACTCAACAATCCTGACGGCGGATCGTCAAAGAAAAGATCCTCCGTCAACGCTGAGGTTGAGGTCGACGACACTATCGGTTCGTCTGAACAAATTCCTCCCATCAACGTTGCGGATTCCGATGACGAGGACCCCATTCCACGGCCGATCGAAAGAAAGAAGGCAAAATCCATTGCCTCGGGTTCGGGAGGGTCCGACTTTGTTTCCATTTCTTCTCGCGACGAAATCGGTCGGGCAATGATTGAACAACTTCGGGTGTTCAATCTTCGAGAAGAAGAGAGGATGAAGCTAAAGGAGCATGAGATGAAGCGAAAGGAGCAGGAGGACAAGATCAAAATCATGGAAAATGACCTTTCTACGTTATCGGGTTTCAAACGGATGATCTACGAGCAAAGACAAAGAGAGATCAAGGCGAAATATAATTCACCTTAGTTTTTTTATTAATGTATCTCTTTTATTATTGTTGTTTTTTTAGTTTAATGAATGTAATTTTTTAAATTTTAAATTATTGTCGTTTCAATTTCTTTAAATTTAATGAATGTATTTTTTTATTCGTGTTTCAATATAATTAAATAATAAATTAATTACATTTTATTAATTTAGTTTTAGAAGATGTATATTTAAAAATGTAAAAAATGAAGGTTTGAAGCCCCAGTTTGAAGCTCCGGGGCTTCAAACCCATTTCCAGTAAATCTGTGAGGTAAGTTAAAGCTGACGTGGCAGAGAGAGAAATTTTGAAGCCCCGGGGCTTCAAGTGTATTTCTAGTGCTCCTAATTTAATTTCATTCAAAGTGAACATATTCATATTTTGATAGATCATGGGCCATATTCCGTTCACCGGAGGAAATGCCAAGTTCAAGCCTTCATGGGGATTTATACATTCACACACACTAGGTTCGTTTTTTTACACTAACACGATTACAAAACAATAGTGTCGATTTTTAATTAAAGATAATAAATGTGAATTATTATTGTCTGCATTTTAATGAATGTTTAATTATGATTGATGGAAAATGAAATACTAACCTCCTCTACTCTTTTCGATTGAAAAAATAGAGGTAAATGTTAGAAAAACTGAAACAAGTTAAAAGAAATTTGAAACAATTAAAAAAAATGGAAATGTTAAAAAAATGGAAAAAGTAGGGAAAATCTAGAAAGAGTTAAATAGAATTGTGAAGTAAAAAAGTTGGAGAAGCTACAAGAATTTTCAAGAGCTTGAAAAAACAGAAATATGTAGGAGCAAGGCCTTACGGTGTGTGTGCCGCTCCCCCTGCGGGAAGAAGCCACGTCGGCCGGCGGGAACACTTCCCCTGTTGTAGGATTTAGGACGGAGTGGACGACCATATCGTTCTTCCGTTGTTTCTTTCGACCGTTCAATGTTCAGTTTTTTAAAAAAAATTGGTAATCAGTGATAGACCAAAATCCACTGGGTGTGTGTACTTTTTGGTCCAAACAATATATATATAAAATATACGAAATATATAAATAAGAGCATAGACGATATATTTTGACGTGGAAACCAAATCGAGAAAAATCACAGGCATTTTTCAGTGGAACCATGCCAACAGAGGAATTTTATCATAAATTCGGAGTATATTTGTGCAACATATTGGTGTGATAGCCACGGATGGAGCTTGAAGCTCCATTGAGAAGGAGAAGACGAACTTGAGAGAATATAATATGTGTGGAATGTAGAGGGAGGCCCCCTTTTCTTGGATTTGTGGAGCCTAGGGTTAGAGGTCCCTTAGTCCCTTGTGGGCTTCTCACGAGGACCGGCCCAATTTCTTTAATTAGGCCCAGAGGATATCATTTCATCAGTCAATTTAAAAAAATATTCTATTTAAATCTTGCTCTCCAACTTCTTCTCTCACACTTTCTTCATAATCTTTCCTTAATTTTCAAGCATTATTTAACTTATTTATCATACAATCTTTTTTTCATCCTTCACTATGGATACATCCCGACCCCAACCACAAACGTCCCTCTCTACTACATTTACGAGTTCCAGCCAAATACCAAATGTATTTAGTCATCCACAACAATTTCATGAATGGAAACAAATGATGTTCCAACAATATCAACAACAATAGGGCTTGACCGTCCAAATGGAACATCTCCGAACAAAGTTCCCAATGTAAGAGCTGTGGCCGACCAACTCGGCCCTGCACTTTGTTTCCCTTTCACAGGACAACGTCCAAGAGGTTGTGCTCGAAACACAACTAACCTAAAAAAACGAAAAGCGAAATGCCAAGAAAAACAAGTGGTCGGAGCAACCCCATGCCATGGACGATAATCGAGGTGGTAACATTGGCCTGAGCATATGTTAACGTGTCCCAAGATTCGATAGGAAATATGTTTGGCCTCAAATCTATTACTTTTAAAAATATATTTCAAATTTTTACTGAATTTTTTTCACCAATATTTTATCATGTAGGGAAAGCTCAAAGCGGTAACGAGTTTTGGGCAAAGAGCACCGACCAATTTCACACTCTCATGAACGCCTCGCTGTACCATGCCTTATCCCCTCGGTTGTTTCCAAGTTCTGAGACATGAACAAAAATTAGGAATTTTTTTGCTTTCTACAACAACTTCTATCTTATGCATCCAAGCAGGATGAGTGGCGAATAAGTATTGAGGATTGCGCTCCAAAAATAGCAAGCTAAACGTGGCCCCATTCCCACAATTCAAGGCATGGTCAGTGTTAAACGCATGTTTGAAGTGGGCTCTGGTACTGAACGAGGTGGCGAGGGCAAAATGGACCAAGACTTTTGAATTAGGAGACTAGTATCCCATCAAACTCGATGTGTGTTGGATGCCTAATATAAGTGATGACAACACCGACATACCAACACTTCTTGAGACGGAAAAACTTGTTGGAGGGATAAGGCCAAAAGAGCATCATCTTCGCGAACAACGCTAGAGGCCGTGATGAAAGGGCGCGTGATAGAATTTAGAATGAGGTCTAGGTCACTAGACTGGGCCATAAGGCACTTGGGTTGAACGAGATTAAAAGATTGATTCCAATCAATTATTTAGTTTAACTCAAAAGATTATATACCGATTTATTTTCTCTTCAACTTCTGATGTTCGTTAACAGTTCGAGCATCTCTCCGATTCCTTGTCCACATTTACTGAATTACAAGTGGAGCGGCTTCGGCTCAAGCATCAAGCAATAGCATAGAAGCTTGAGCTCAAGCATCAAGCAAATGCGGAGAAGCTTGAGCTCGAGCATAAATAATGTATCGAGCAAGAAGACTTCAAAATAATGACCGCCAATGTTGGGAATCTTGGTCCTACATCTTGGTCTTATGGAGTGAGCAGTGGTAATGAGAATGAAAGACGCGATATTAAAGAGGTGGCTAGGAAAAGCGGGCGACACCACAAGCATGACTTTTTAGATTTTTTAATGCACTATTACTCTTTTTAATTATATTTCAATTTTCTAGTACTTTTTATTTTAGTTTTAGTGAAATGTACACTTGAGATTTTAACTTTACTGAATTGAATGAAATTCAAGTGATTTGAATTAAATTAACAGTTAAAAATAATATTAAAAAAATGAAAAGAAAAGGTGAAGAGAAAGGAAACTACATTCCTAAAAGGAGAACATAAAGGAAAGTAAAAGGAAAAGTAGACGTGTTGCTGAGTTGGAAGTAGAGGGATAGGGGATGGCATGAACCATACCCAATGGCCAAACTAAAAAAAAAAATGGGTTTGTACAACTACAATTCCAAAAGTGTAAATTTCTGGAGTATGAGTGGCAAGCACAAATGCAAGATTGCAGGGAGCAGGAGTTGCAGTTCTAGACTTGTAGTTTATGGCAAACATCTGAGCTCGGGTTCGCCATAGAACCTGCAAACACAACGCAACTTATGCTTTTCAAATCACCCCGCTCGCATCATCTGAATATGAATATATATAAAGCTTTGGACTCCTCTTGATAACGTTTTAGATCAAATTAAACCTCTAGTCTTAAATTGGCGAGAAAAATGGAATTGAACTCACAAATGCCAGCCAAACACGGTTGTTTAGCGACCAGATCTTGTTCAAAAGGTGGTGGTTCTTGGCCGAACACCATTTCACAACTCATATCTTCAAAATCTGAAACATTTGACATTAGTACTTTGGCACTGTTACGAAAGACTTATGCAGAAATGGGAACCGAATTCCTTTGGGATTCGGTTTGGTGACTTCTAATTATAACTCTCTTACATATGTAGTTGCAAGGCACATAATTAAGCAAATTGCGAAGAGGGAACGAAGACCATACTCGGATTCATAGTTAAGGGAAGTCCAAACTCTTTAGTGAAAAAGTCTTGTGTAGGTAATTTGCACATGTTAACACACATTCCTACACATCCACTGTTCTCTAGGTACCTACCTTGAGATGAACAATGGAAAAGGATTAATAACAAGTAGGGTTTAGTTATTTATATAGGATCCGCCGATCCGAATATGCTTAATCAATAAGCTAATAGTTGTAACGAGACTTTAATTGTGATGAATATATACATATACCTGCATTTCTTTATTTGAACTCCGCTCTTTTGCTTCACTCCGTTCAACTCTACTTCCACAACCTTCATATCAATTAGATGCATATATACGTACGTAAGGAGGGTGTAAAGGAAGAGTTGTGAATTACTTTCTCCGCCCGGATTCAGTTGTTCAATATCTCAAAAATTGACAAAAAAAAGAGACTCATTTAAAAAAAAGTGTAGAAATTCAAATAGGTCTTTCTGTTGGTGTATATCACAATTTAGCATTTGTTTACTTGATTAGTTACATAGTTTAGTTACATAGTTTGTTAGTTAGTTAAGAAGATATTTTTGGTTGTTACTTGTTTTTCACTTTCTATATATAGGACTTAACCATGTAATACACAATTTGAGCTAGTTAATACAATTTGATCCTTTCATTTCCAACATGGTATCAGAGCGGTTGGTTTAGCTCCACCCAATCGGCTCATTATCTTCAATTTCTCTCTTGCTTTCATGGCGGAAACTCTCCAGATCTCTAAAGAAGCCGAATCTTCAAGCAATCATCTCATCACTGACTCATCATATCACTTGGTAGGTTGCTATGGCGAAGGATAATTCTGCATCTGTATTCTGCCAGCTCGACTTCGCGATCCGTTGCGGCCGCTGAGATTTCCTTCTCCGGCGGATCCTCATCACCGATCTACTGTTGCAATCCGTTTCTATCGCCGTCGTACGACTCAGCCGACTACTCAAGGAAGGATTTCTCCTCGATCTTCGATCGCGATTCTCGATCTCCATCTGAGACCTCGATCAACAAAGCTGAAGCAATTCCGACTGAACGCCGATTTTTCCTGGCAAATTTCATCCTCTAATACCAGAAGCTGTACAACCGCTACGCTCTCTGTCTCGCTAACCTCCACGAATCTCTGGAGGAGATCAATTCGTTCCGTCGGGAGAACGAGGCTCTTTATCTGGCCAACGTTGATTTGGCCAACCGCCTGAGTCTCCTCTCTCAGGCGGCGATCTGGAATTGCCTCCTCTCCGATTTCAATCACCTCGGTATCGGTGCTCGGGCCGCTCCTGTCCACTAATTTTCTGTTGATAATTCATCAATGGATGTCAATTCGAGTGGAGAAAACTTCAATTTGACGCCATCTCAGTCTATTGATCTCTCCAAATCAGGTTTCATCACAGTTGATCCATATTAATCCTCTGTTCATTGTGTTGGTTCTCAAATTGAGTATCCAACTTCATTTTCATTTTCATGATTGGAATGTTTAGTTTCAGTCATTCTTTCACTTCTGTAAATTCAGAAGTTTCATCATGATCAATTTCACTCAATCGGTTTGATTGAGTTTCACTCG